ATATATATATGTACTGATAGGGTAAACTTTGGCCAAGCTGTCCTCGGGACTCTAGGGATTCCTCGCTGGCTAAACCAGCAAATCTCCGGCGAATGGAAATTTTGCTGAGGCCCGTAAGGCCAGTGAAGACGATCCATCCAAGTATCCAAGTAAGTATATGTACTGAAAGCTATTCGTAACGCGAATGCAAATTTATGCGTTAATTTTTGTCTGCTGAGGTTATGAAAGTGTTTCCCTGAGTAGATAGCATGCCAATTTGCTTTCCAGGCTCTAAAGCGCCGAAACGTCACCTGTTCCGTATTCATAAATGCTGCAATGCCAAACTTGTGTTTGCTCATCAAGAAAAGCAGTGATTCCTAAGCCCGCATCAAAATCGAGAATCTTCTTGTGTTTGATGCCGAAGACGATACCATTGATTTCCATGGTTACAGTTACCTTCGGTATTGCTTGCATTATCGTATATTAATAGTGTTCAATATTAACTTCCAAGAATAAGTTTCATCCACTTCTTTATGCCCGAATTAGTTAATTGTGCCAAAAGACTAGAAATTCATGTTAGTCGTGTTTAGTTCTGTTGTGGTCTTCGCGCAAATCGTCCTCGTGCGTCTCGGTACACTGTGAAGCTCTCCTTTTTTAGGCCACTGCAAAAAAAACTAATAATGATGCGTTTTTGATAAAACAGTTGAAATTACCCACTGTGCTCGATATTCTTTCTGAGCAAACACGAGGTGCTACTTTATTCTTCATTCCGTTAAAGCTGACATTTCAGCAGTATCGCTTTTTCAGAGCCGCTTATTGCTTGCCTTCCACTGAGAAAGAACAGCGGATCAGAGTTGCGTACGGTTGATGAATAAAGCAACACCTCATGTTTGCTCCACAAGAATGTCGAGAACTATTTGATCAATGCCGAGGTTAATAGAAAGTCGGTCGTGTGCTTTCTGCAAAGTCGCCAGCAAACTCAAAAAAAAGTAACACGTGCTTTGCTCAATCACCATCTGTTTGTACTACAGCGCTTTTTGTCCTCTATTGCGAAAGAATCACCGTTAGAGTTTTGGCTTGGCTTGCTATTACGTACCCGAGCAGCCAGTCAGATAAGCGCAGAATTCGCCTTCATAGAATAGCCATCGACTTGGACAAATCTGGCTCTCAGAAGATGGCCTAAGAACTCCCTGTCTTGGATATCTCCGATTCTCAGAAAGAATAGTGCTCAACGATCATTAAACATGTTAATGAGAGAAGATAACAAAACAGCAACATGCAGGCAAAGTAGACCATTCTCCCACGAAAGCCTGTTGTAAGGCTGTAAGATGAATAAGGGAAATCCTGGGATTCACACGACATTTGAAGGTGATTTATGTGAAACGCCTCCGACTACTTACTGTGAAACACGAAAACGCTTTGGTCATTGCTATTTCCCGATTCAGAGCAGAACCACGCCCAACCAGCACACGCTATGTTAAAGGGGAGACAAGGCGACAGAGAAAGCGAACCACACCATTGCGCGAACCCAACCACTTCCATAAATAATGGTTGCAAGGCAATGCAAGAGATAAAGCATTTCTGACGACTACCTGACGTCTATATTTTAGCATGGACCAGTAAGTTAGCATTCTATATAATGGAACTGTATCTGAATGATATTCTGTTTGATTGAGCTGATACGACGCTGGTACAAAGATATACCTAAACAGATACTGTCGTAAACAACAGCATATCCAGCAACGATTCCTGCTTCAGAACGGGTCTCTTTGCAAATCACACTCATGCATTTTGGCAAGAGAACGATTCCTCTCCGGAATGAGCATATGATAGTGCATGAGGTCCAAAAATTCGTAACTTACAATCTGGCAAACGGCAGTTTTCGCTCAAGCATGGTTACTGAAGAACAGAAGCAAGTGCAGTGCATTTATCATAAATGCTTTCCATTGGTTCAATCCCGACATTTTTCTTCATTTAGCCTAAGAACTTAGAGAAGAAATTCTTTTATGAGCTCACCCCTCATACTGTTTTTCCACTTTTTCGTTCAAGTCAGCACACTTCTCGCCACTACGTGGGCCGTTGGAATTTGGAAAATGTGGTGCTTTAAGGGATCGTTCCGTCTTGAGTTGGATCGGCGTATTCTGTCTTCTAGAGGATCCTGCATCCAACGCCTGAATTTGATGTTCACAACAGAGAAGTGTGATCCTCATCTATTCTCACCTTGCCAACGGCTTTTTATTGACATAAGCGTTGTCAGACTTGCGTTTTTCATTTGCAACTATAAGAAGCAACATCCCTTCTAACCAAAGGAAAAGTTCTGAAGCACTAACTAAGAAAAGTCCTGTCATTTCTACTTTCTTTGACGTCGAAAAGTTGCCTTTGGCAACAAGCAGAACATCTGCTGCCGCCAATCTTCCACTTCTCAGGATTATGCGAAGAAACTTGAAGATTAGTTGGGAAAGGCCCGCCGGATGCTCTCGCCATTGTCAGTAAATGAACTGCGCTCACTTATCCACCAAACTTCGTATCACTTATCGACACATACACTCACTTTATCTTAACATCCATGTGGTATAAACAGGAATCAACTAACGAACACTGCGAAATCAAAGTTTAGACTAATCCATTACAAACGGAAGTCCTATAAAACATACAAATTGTAGAACCAGCTCAGGGTCATAACTTGTTTTGTTATTTTAGCTATTCGTTTACACTGGACGCGTGTGGCGCAGTGGTCGGAGGTGCCCTGCAACACACACATGGAATAGATCCCAGCGCCCACAGCCCACCCTGTCATTCTTCCGGGGTCGGCAAACTGGTACCAGACTCGTCTGGGATGATAGCAGCACTGGCTCGATACAACGTTAGGCCACCGCGAATCAATGCCAGATATGCATTCAATCACCTCCAAACGAAGCTCAATGAAGTCGTATGCATGGCGCATATCTCAGAGATTGATTAAAGGTGACAGCTTCTATCCTTTTTAGAGCTTTATTCGTTTACACGACCCGACATCATACATTGTGCAGATTCTTGTATTTCTTTAGCTTGATTCCTCATCTCCCACTTTTCATCCGAAATAGGCTTCATATTTGCGTGTTCCACTTGAGAACCTTGTTCTTCCCATAAATTTCGAACTGGTTTTGAATCAAATTTTTTCCAGAATACCAAGGCAGCTCTTCTACAGTGATCCCAAACCATCATTACCAGCATTAGTCAGCTTTGCCGATTGAAGGGCAATTTTCATGACAATATTCTTAGCAATCTGCCGACTCAGAAGAGATGGGAGGCAGGGTTAGTCTGCTGCAGAACAGAATCAAAGACCAAGACCATTTTGTGCAAGACATCCCTAACCACTGCGCCACATGCTCTCACATTGATAGACAAGGAGACTAATTATGTTTATTGCTAAGATGGTCGTCATAATAATACAAGAGTGAGCAATGAACGAAAAACGAGTTGTCGATTTCATGATCAAAATGAAACTTATGCTTTCTTTATAGAATTTCAAAACGATACACCAAATGACATACAGAGAACAACTACAGTATAGTTATGATGTGCTTAAGGAACAGCTGATTCGAGCTAGTATCCAGTAATTAGCAAATCCTGAAGAGATGAACACAGAAAACTAACTGGCTTTAAGAAATTGAAACGTTTACATATTCCAGTTTAAGTGAAACGACTTCTAACAGATCTTATACCTTTCTCTTTAAAAGAAACTGCGCATTCCACTGGATGAAACCACCCGCGATCTTGTGGATTCGGGAGGTTTTGTACTAATACTTAAATACCACAAGTCTCTGTGCTAAGAGTAACTATCATATCAGACTTATCACCGACGACAAGTACGTTGGCTACAGCGAAATAACGTGATGCTGCTTTTATAACGAAAAGCATAATTCTATCACAGAATGTGGGATACTGGCAACAGTTATGAAAGTTTTTTCCTGGGCGACATCGTTAAGTTTGAAGAACTAGAAGCTGGTAGATCTTCAGTGAGTTTTCCATTCGAAGAAATTCTTACTTGCCGATAACGGTCGCCGGTTCGTTTGCTGGTGTTTCGTTTGTTACCTCGACGTGCATCCTTCGGTAGTTCAAGATCGCATTCAGCTCAGCGCTGGAGTGTGTTCGATACTGTAAGAAAAACAGTGACTAAAAACCACATAAGGGTACAAAGGCGGAGAGAGCACTTGTACAACAAGCGGCAAGGTAAAACTCCTCCAGGTAGTTGTTGCTAGTTTTCGCTAGTACTCACTGATATCCCGTCTCTTAGCAACATTTTTTAAAATATCTGAGCTATAAAATCGTCAGAATATGCGAACCCGCTTCGCTATTCGATCGATACACATCGGTTTCATGCTATCGCTCCTCTTAATCAACGATTGATAGAGTTATCTGTCGACTATATTACTTCATGAACTTACTTCATGAATATGCAGGGTTATCCCACATCGAAGACTCGTATACAATAGTGTCCAAAGAAAAAATAAGCATTGGAAAACGATAGAAAACATACATTACTTTGGTGCTTTTGGACGAGAAGCTGACTATACAGGCGTGTGCCTTCTTCCCGACCACATGCCTGGATGAGGCTTTCCTTCTTCAAAGCGAACAAATTCGCACCGTCTTGTCCCTCAAGTATCTCAGTGGCTCTGCAAAAGACTAACTCATCCTAACGACTTCAGTTTAAATATTCAAAGGCTCTAAACGAATGAAATTCAGTTTGAGGAGCAACAACGTTACCCACCTCGTGCTGAAACCCTTCTTCTGCAACCATAACGATACCTCCTCTGGTGTCGAATTTTCAGTAATACTTATAGTTGGCGTTCTTGATACTGACTTTCGTAGAGCTTGACCGGCTTTTTTGCCAAAAGTCTCATTGAGCTCCGTCACCAATGCGTGAGTCTCTATGGAAGTGCAGTTATGAACACGATTTGAAATCTCAGAAAAACAAACATACCTTGATTCCGCCTTGCCATTGGCATATTTGCTTCAGATTCTGCAGATGTCCGCGGTTCTTGAGGCTAAGTAGAGTTTACCTTATATTGTATTTAACCAATGTTCCAACCACTACTTCATTAAGCAAAGGAAATTTTTAACATTGTGACAAAAATTAGTTTTTAGAAAACACCTCGTTCACATAACATTTCACATAAATCTGTTTTACTCCTTTTATTTCCTTTTTCCTTCCAACTGTTAACGTCCTCGTCGTGGCTGGAAGGTGTTCCTGGGTGTCGGACTGCGATGTAAAGTGGGGTATTCATCCCCATGGTAAGGTCTCCCAAGCTGAGAAGGAGTCCGGCGTTTCCATCAGGAAGCCTAGCTAAGAGTAAAACAACACCAGGATACACCACCGTTCTGGTATCAAACTAGTCGCACAAGCAGACTTTGGCCAGGCTGACCTCAGGACTCCAGGGAACCACAATGCCTAAGCCAGCAAAACTCCGAAAATTGGAAATTATGCTGGGGTCCACACAATCAGTGAGGACGGGCCCTACAAGTATCCAAGTAAGCATTCTGCTTTTCACCACCTCATGCAAAACGAAATCATAACCGTGATTCTTACTGAATGCTGGAAGCTGCTAAGATAGCCCTAGTCCATTCATATCAAGAAGACAATGATGGCTAACACAGAAGTTCGTCCCTTTCTTTCTATTGCCAAAATTTACATACATCACTTATTCACTGTAAAATACAATATGTATGGACCACTTTTTAGATGGCTACCTGCCATGTTTTCTCACACGTTCCTCACTCTCCGAACTTTGATAATTCTGAGAGAACTGACGTAGATGATTTTTACAGGTTTCTCGAAAAGTGACACTCACATTATTTGCATTGTTCTGCTATATATTATTATTTACATATATTTATTTTTGCAGTTCGGAAATCCGAACAGATGATAGTCTGAAGGTGTATGTATAGCTTTCATAAGTAATGTGGAAGAACGAGAACATCTTCCTGGTAGATCTTGCAGTAACTCCCACGACCGATTTTCTATTAACCTCGGCATTGATTGAATAATTCTTTATATTTCAGTTTAGCAAACATATAAATATAGACAACATAAACATATACATATAAACAAACATAAATAATATAAACGAAACTACAAAGAAAATATCTAAAGTATTGTATGTTCATGCCGAATACCCAAGGATAAGTGTGGCTACCGCTGCCGTGATGAGAAACGAAACCTCTTCACTTCACTATTTCTAAAGGTTTATGACTAATTGTTCACTATATGTTACCAACTTATGAACAACAGTGAATGTAAAAATTAGTAGTTTGCCGTAATCCAGCAACATCCGATGGTACAAGAGCTGATTCCGTGAACAAATCAACTTTAGTCTGCTCTTGTCCGATCCATCCTCTACCCTCCTGTGATCACTCGATTGGATTGTTCCTAAGCAGATAAGAATTTTTCAGCTACCATTCGCTGAATATCAACGAGAACACTGCACATCGACGAAACTATAATTCCGTACTTGAAAACTTCTGAAGCACTTAGTGAGCAATGAATCGGCAACCGAGTGCTCTCCATGTACACGTCATTGGTTTTTTTAAATTCCGGTTGGCGCGTTTGTTTCTTCGGAAATGAAAACAAGGACGAAGTTTTAGTAAACCCTCTCGTTATGCTTCAGCTTGAAATCTTCGTTAGGCTTGCAAGCTATAATTACATTGTTTTTTGTCTACATTGAAACCACAAACTTTCACAGAGCAAGTACACTGTCTAAGCTTAAGGTTGGCACTGACATTGGCAATAGAATCTCACCAAGCGAAAAAAAACGACGAATTTTCACACCAATCTGATGCCTCCGCCATTCAGTGCACATTGAGTTTTGCTTCTTGAAACATTGTTGCTTACGCAGTGTTTAGACGGCAACGGTGTACTAACTGATAGTAGCCAAGTGATAGTAGTTAAGAAACACTCCGTGAAATCGAGTTTTCTTGAACTGATAACATTGATTTCAATGAATGGTCCATATATAACCTAAACTCACCACATAGCTGACTATATTCTCAACACCGACATAGTGACGTTGATAATCTGTGCTTGCCGAACCAGAACTAATCGTTCGAACTGGTACGTTTTGTGCTAGAGGTTGCTGGATTTGCTGAACAACAAAATTCGATTCAAATAGCATTGATTTCAACGTCTGAGTACACTACACTCACAGAATTTGGCACGATCAGATTAGACGAAAGATGAGCATTTTCCCGCACACTCGTTTCCGATGTCATCGCTTGAAAAGAGTAGATTCACTTCAGACGTTTTCCAGATTAAAATTCTCCAACTACGATGTGCTTGCTTCTATCTAGATCTATCAGGACCGGTGAATGAAGGTGTACTGCCACATCATTTGGTAAAACCGCAAAAAGTTCATAACACTCTACAAAATTTTATAATAAAGAAAGATCCCCTATACGTTGCAACCATACCTCTCTAGCCCAGTTTAATATTCAGCTGTTGTGTACTTAAATTTACGAGAACATAAAGGTTAAGGAATTTGGCGTTGATCGATGCCTCAGCGATGTGCGATGCCCATGTATTCGACTTCATTAATCACTTCGAGATGACTAAATGAACATTTGTGCTAGAAAACGGCTCGAGTAACGAGTCGAGTATCGACTTATTGAATCAGTGTGTGTTTTTACTCATTCAGACAATTCTTGGTGCAATTTGCAGATCTCGGAGGGCTGAGACTTGGTTAGCTCTGGGCGGAGGGTTGAGTTCGCGACCATGTGCACGGTGAAACACCATAGATCAGTGTGCTACATGCGCTCTCTTTAAACGTATTTCCATTAAAAAAATTCTATTCCATTCACTTTTGAAACTTTCTTGGTTCATATTCTGTAGAGTTCGTATTGCATATCCTCTTAAAAGGTAGACATCATACACAGGCATCCTCTGAATATGACGATCATGTCTTTAAATCTTTCATCTGCACAAATCACTTTTCTGCTTAGTAATGTCGTTTCCAAAAGCCTACAAGCTTTAACACATTTCTAGTCCTTGCCCTATAATAAGCTGTTCAGAACTTCCTTTTCTATCAATAAAACCTATTTTGCTAATAGAAATTCTCTTCTTTTTACCGATAGGAACTATCTAGTGCTTCCAATGTACAGCAGGAGTCACCCGTATCGGATGGTGAACTACAGAAGGGTAAGCTCACACCTCATCACTAAAGAGTTACCATCGTTTCAAATTTGGTGACTCCATGGATTCAAGTCTGTAAACATCACTCGTCATGAACAAAGTCTTTGAGCTTGGCAGGTTACACAGCGTTCATAACATTTCCACCTACCTACGTGATAATTTAGAAAAAAAAAACTCAACTCCCTTTGACGAATTTCATGAATAAGATACATTATTAGTGCGTTCAACAGGAACTTTGTTTTTACAGCAATCACGCCAAACCACCAAACCCTTCGGCACAGATTCATTTTAGGATTTCTGCACATATGGGAAAACCACACAGGAAGAAGCGAGGACCTGATTTGGGAATCCATGGGACACGCTCTTAACAATGACTTGCTCGACCATGACTTACCATGATGTCTCAAGCAGTCTATCGACGTGACGACACTTTCCACTACCCTGGCTTTACCGATCGAAATATAACGAAGAACACATGAGGGCTGTGATCTGCTGACAATGATCGTTCTTTCTTCTGTTTGCTTCGCTGCTCTGATTACGATTCCGCCATTGGCGGTGTTTCTGTCTTGAGTTACACACCACATACGCATCGTCAGTACCGCTCATAATCTGTGTTGCACATCAAGAAACAGCGTCGAACACGAAATTTTCATTCATTCTATATGTAACATAAACAAAAAGGCACTATGTCAAAAAAAGCTTGAGCTGAAATAATATGACATCATCGTCATCATCAATGATGTGCTATAATCAAAACATCTGTAGAAGTTCAGAATCAGCTAAGTACTTAATATATATAAGAGTCAATCTGTTGGTATATAACGCAAAAAAAAAACGTATAAACAATCTATTAGTGAAAGTGGAGTGAAATAATTCTGTAGTAGGGTAGCAACAGTGCTGAGAATGGCTTTAATGGTAAATGCTGTCATGCTACGCTCTAGTCCTGAGTACACAAAGTATAGCTGTAGTGGTGGCGCGCGATGGTGGTGATGATTGGTAAGAAATCGACAACTAATGAAGTTTACCACGACCACGTGTACGTGAGTAATGTGGGGCATCTGGTAGACACAACATTATATATATATATATACATATATATACATGAATATTCATGCATATATATGTATATACGTGTATATATATATGATTAGTACTGACGACGCATCTGTTAGTGCAAACATACCATGACATATAAGCAGATATTATAGTAGAGGTTAGTGCTAACCTTTTACATTAAGCTAACCAAACAAACGGCCCTTCTCTGACGGATGGACGGACGGACAAGTGACACAAATTAAACAACCAGAACAAAAATAGTTGAGCACACGAAAGTTTCGCTATCAATCCTGTTAAAACTGGACGAGAAAACCAAGCATAATTAGCAAAATGCATACTCAAAGTCGAAGAAGAACCACCTAGTGACGACACACAGACACAAACCACATACAGATCCGATTCATATCACAGAAATCACTTTCATCGCAAATGTTTTTAAAAAAGGAGCAATTAATTCAAATTTAGAAATATCGGAACTCGCCACGCCGTCCCTGTCGCTCTTTCACGTAAGATGGCGCGTCGTCTGGCAGCATACCTTGCTTTGGACTCGCAGTGCGTGCGTGACCATTAGGTAGCGAATGCGAGTTGTCGCGATTGGTCTAAATTCCAATTTACATTGACAAAATAAAAGTGAAGAGCAAAAATTGTAGCCTATTTAATAAGACATCATAAATAAGCAGAGATCCTAAGATACGCATGAGTAGCACTAATTTTTCCACCAGTCAGTTTAAGAAGCAATTGGCGCAGCAGGAATGAATACTGAGGGGCGGCATCACAAATCGTCGTTCTATTTCCTTGAAAACTATTCTTATTGCCGTTACTACTCTTATCTAAGCAAATAACGTGCATAATATGAATGTCGTTCCGCCAATAATCTTATAATAGTGCACTGTCTATATAAAGAACCAATTACCCAAGTTTTCCCCACCCTTTACGATAATAAAAGAGTCCTGCATGGTAAGCAGTACAAAGATGAGTACTCTACACTGAACTATTAATATACACCGCTCTATCAAATGATCAGATAGAATATATTCAGCTGAACTCATTAGTATAGCTTCTGAGCCAACAGCTTAGACCGTACACTTGGATGAAAACACTAACATTATACACGACCCATCATTATATGGACCAAATATAGATTCAATCATCTCAAAGATGTTTAATGAAGTCGAAGTCATGGCGCGACCCAAAGTGATTTATCGAAAAACTACCTTTTCACATGTCTAGAAAACCCACATATATTTCGGTAGAGTCGGGATGATCCAACGAGACCATAGAAAGTATTGTATGGGGTACATAGCCGACGCGTTGATGCACATTACGACACTCCCACCAGTTTTTCGCGTCATCCAAGACCTATAGATGATTGAGTTCACATTTCTTAACGAAAAATAGAACTAAAATGATTCTCGATAAACCCATAAATTCGCAGTTTTGACTTTTCAATCACAAACGTTGCCATGTTTCCATGTTATACAAACCTCAAGGTACTCGCCACGACTAACGGTTAGCTCCTTGGCATTCTGGGCGACACGATCAAATGTTGCCATCACTAGTTTACTCCCTCTTCCAATGGCATCTTCCACGAAAGCTCTAAAAAGACAGTAAAAGCACAAAGATCGAATGAGAAGGATTACTTTAAATCTAAATTACATAACCACCCTGAAAAAAGTGAGCCAGTGTAAAACGACTAAAGCATGTCAAATGATAGGCTCAAATGAAAGGACCTTTTGTCTTTGAAGAGAGTATTTTTCAAAAACTTTCAATGACATGGGTCTTTTTCTACATCTACTTGGATAATACTAAACTCTATGATACTGGCAAAGGCCTGTAATGTCCTTTTCATCAATTCCAACTCAAAACCCTCTACAGCTGATAACACCGATTTATATGAGCCCCAATGTCTTCAGTTCCTCCACAACTATATAAACAACAATATCCTTGCTAGAGTGGGAGATAGGAATCTGCCTTTTAAAGTTGGCGTTGAAGTGAAAAGGATAAACAAATGTACAGCCCCAGGACGACCGACACCACAGCCTGAGCGAGAAAGATAGCAGAAGAGATCTTCGAAACGATCACCTGATCTTGTTGTTGAATATGCACAACAAGCTCTTCAGGAATATTCTGAATATCAAGCAAATTTGTATGAGGCCTAACTAACCCAGCAAAACAGGATTCCAACATAAGTCCTGGTGTTTTGACGATAACAAAGCAAAAATTAGGAAAATGAATGTCGAGTGGAAATACAACCTGATATTTTCCTAACCCTTTGACTATGCGAAGTGCTCAACAGCACTTAAAAGAACACTTAGTCAGCATTTGCTGACGAAAGACCATAACTACTGAACAGAAACCTCTGCCAGGCTTCCACGTCACCTACGACATGGTCACTTTTCGAAAGGTAGTGCATGCATGCATAAAGGGCGCGAGTAGGGCAGTGGTCGGAGGCGCCGTGCAATACACATGGGATTAACTTCTGCCCCCCTGGTCCACCAAGCCTTCCATACCTCTGCGGTCGGCAAATTGGTAGCAGACTTGTCTGGGACGATAGGAACGCTGGCTCGATACAACGGTAGGCCAGCGCGAGTCATTGAAAAGGTCAGTATGCATTCAATCACCTCGAAACTATGCTTAATGGAGTCGAATGCAAAGCGAATCCCTAAGGGATTGATCAACGCAGAGAGCTTTACCCTTTATTTATTTTACTTACTGCATGCGTAGACGAAGTTAAAAGAGCTTAGCGCAGTCGGAGAAAGATGACAAGAACCGTGAACAGATCCTAAGAAAAAAACTCACGATACGATAGAAAACAAATACAGATGGTCATTTTCTTGTTCAGTAATCGCGAGGTTGCTAAACAGCATACATTTACTTCCATAGAAAAACACAATACAATACAACATTAGTTGACGTTTCGGCAGAATTGCCCTCTTCAGAGCCTGGAAGGGTATACTATACTGAGCGATGTGCCCAAGCGAAACACTTGGCCAAAAGAAAGTCCCGTTTATGTTCCCCTTTATTAGCGCTGAAGTAAGCGTAGCTATTAAACGGTGCTTAAGAAGGGCAGGCTTGGAGGAATCGGTAGCGATAGTTGAAATACCACCGGCTACTCTACGTCGTCAATTAGTTCGTATAATAGAAAGTCGATTTTGGGAAATATAGATGGATTGCTCGAAGAATACACATACCATACTCTGCGTTCGTCTATTGAACTCGGAAAACAACATAAAGGAAAATTTGTTCAGAAGAAAGAAAGCAGTGTGAGATGCTTTCGTACTTCCTAGAGAAGCCATCACACCGAAAATTTCCGCGCTCATATATTTGACTTAACAGTCTTCACCACTCTCTGCTTCGTAGCTGAAACTCCAATTCACGTCTTAACCACGAGAATCTCTACGAAAAGGTGAAGATTTGGCTGCAAATACTCGTTAACCTCGCTACGATCGAAATTACCAGTATGTCTGACGATAATGAAGGAAGGAAACAAATTGAAAGGCTGCTAAGACCTTCACAATTGGTCAAGATGGGCCATTCAAATATGCAACCAGCTGAGTACTCAAGAGCTCTAGAAAATTACGCTTTCTGGATAGGAAGACTTTAAGCGTAAGAGCATGAATTTCAATTCATCTCGAAGGAATATTTAGTACAGAAAACATTTTCTCTAGAAGATAAACATGCAGTTATTGATGCCTGAAGATTCGTACCCAAAGTGCCGAAAAAATTCGAATATTCTTTTAGAACCCAACAGTGAGGAAAATTCACTTCCATAACCACATTGTTCTCTAAAGCGGAACTCAATAAAATTGAAGTATAGTTCACAAAGAAAACCATTCTAGTGAAGTCGAACAGAATACATAAAGACTGTCTCCTTATTTTCGAATTCGCCACTATAAACATAGTACATATATAGCAGAAAATAAAGAAAAGAGACTAAAGTACCCACTTTTGGCGAGGTGATTGATCTCCCAAATCAGGTAGGACCATAGCACGACCACCAACACTACGACCACCCATTGGTGACGTTTGAGAAGATGGTAGACTGAAAGGAAAGCAGATCAGTAGTCCCAAACTAAAAAGAAAACTACGAGAAATTGAAATCATTATTTTTGCATTACCTTCTGAAGAAAGGATGAGTGTGTAAGAGAAACTGTACCAAAATAGAAAGCTCTCTTTTTGCTTGAATAGCTAACAACAATGGTACTCTTATATTCTACTTGACATCGACATAGATTCGTAGTATAAATAGATTTCATTAACTCCTATCAAACAGACTCCTTTCTATTTTTAGCAAATTTTCTTCATCATGGAGGAAACCTTTAAAGATGTGTTGCGAATCATAGAAGTATTCAAAAAAAGGAGACAGAAAGAAGAGCTAAGTGGTTGGTTTCGACGATGGAGTCCGTAGATTAACGACATGGAATGGCTGAACTTACGGTTCATAAATGGATTTGGTCCGATTGCTGTTCACCGTATCCGATTCGTGTTTAATCATCCTGCGTTCTGCCTCCAGACGAGCTCTTTCGGCCCTCAAATTTTCAATATAGTTTCATTTTTCACACTGGACACTGGGCTAAAGCACATGTTTTTGGCAAAGAAAAAAATTTTATAATTAACAGATATGCGGCTAATTTTGTGTAGCATCCGCCTGGGGCACGCCTACGAGCAGTGTGCATTCAACGATGTCCAAAAAAGTTTCTTTTGTAAAATATTAAGGGTGGTAAACAGTACTACACGGACCATGTCTAGCACAATATCTGTATTGGATAGGCAACTGGCTGACTAGTAGAATGCGTGACAATCTAACCTTTCCAGACTCTGAAGAAGGCGAAACCGGCGAAACGTCAGCCAGTATTGAATAAATCTTGTTATTGACAAACCTCCTACTTGCAAAATAAAAAACCCCTAAGACATCGGATCGGTAGAAAAGCATGGCGAACAGAGTTTTTCAGTAAAATAAGTCGTCGGAAATAATATGCTCTAAAGTCAACGTTCGGTCCTTTTTGTCTACCATGTATGCATCTGTATCAATGCAGAAAATCACTTATGGGGTAAAATGGTTATTCCTGTTCTCGTTCAATCATCTACACAATTCGGCCATTAGTGTATAAAATTTACAACATTGTTTCTCCAAGAATTTTTATCAATTAAATTTACAGCAGTTTCAATAGAAAAAGGTTAGATATGGAAGAACCAGATTCCGAAGTAAAATTTGACTACAAGTTTTGAACAACCTGAAATTTAAAAAACAGAGTTAGAACTGGTTTAAATTTTAGTTCCTTCGTGCCAGAAAACGAAATTTCCAGTGTTACGAAAAGAAAGTTTTACTGGTTGGCAAAGATCAGCCCACAAGGAATCGAAAAAGAAGGAACCATAACGAAACACCTGTGAAATTCGTCTTGTTTGGAAAAATTAAGAGCTAAACTTGGAAATTTTACTGATACCTCCTCTAAAAACTCTTCAGTTGATCAGAAAATGTGATTTACTCACACATTTCCACTTCCTAGTTTAAAGAAAAGTTGACAGAGTTCATAAATCTAAGCCATAACCTAAGCCCAAATCCGAGCCTAGTTGAACTATACAACCTTGATCCTACTACCACATTCTTTGTCTAAATTTAGACCAAAGGAGAGATTCTTAGAGAGAAAAAACTAAGCCTTTTTTTAAGCAACTATCGATATCTGCAAAATTTTCGAGTATTATTCAGCTATCACCTTATCTTTTTAATTGCTTCACTGGCGCCGTTATGCCCATAAAGGTCAAGCAAACGAAATTTCAGAGCAGCCATAAAACACTACGGTCGTAAATTTTAAAGGAGAATTAAAGTTAGGCTAAGAGAACTCTCAACAAAATTATTCGCACATTTATAAAGTGGAAAGAAAAACCCTGAACGGTAAAAAATCCACTTGATCATCTTTTCTTCATCTTGAAGTCGTCGCTCCCTCTCCAGCATCTTCTGCTTCTCAAAATCGAGTCGTTCTCTTTCCAAAGACAGACGATCCAAATCGAGCTGAGAACGAATGATAACAGGAGCTAGTGGATCGTCAAAAAACACGTCATAGAAACTTTCTCTAATACCATAATCGTTTTATTATTGGGAATTTAATGTACTTTTAATCAGACCTTGCTGACGAAGGCTCTCATCGATTTCTGCTCACTTATCAACACTAATCAAGCCTCTACTAAGCGGTATGTGATAAGACGTGTACAACTAGCGGTATGTGATAAGACGTGTACAATCTCCTTCCAGTGGTTGAATCCGATAGCATAGAGCAAAAAATCGTTGTTCTTTGTTGTTTTTTTTCTTTGGTGAAGTTATTTGGAACCAAAGGGGAAAGAACGAAGGGAAAAAGTTCACAACATGCAGCTTACTTACATTGTCGACACTCATGTTCCGCTGTGGACGATACTTCGATCTGCTGTTCAGAGGTGTTGACGGAGCCTGTCATAAGAAAATGAAAAGGAAAACACCACCAGGATTTGGACAGCATTTAAAAACATGCCAGGAAGTAAGGAGTGATTTGGAACAACACAGAAACGGTACATAGAAATTTCCCATTACAATACGAGCATGGAAAGAGATGAGAAATAATGATGTAAGTCTACCAAGAACCATAGGATATCAGATAAAAGTGCTTCAGGTATGGGTACATAATCACTTATTTATTAATTAATTAATTTTATTAAGTAGTTCTAGGGAAGGAATGCTAGTAAGCATGCCCGATTTTGATACGATAAGGTTCTCTCTCGAAGCGCTCACGAACACTTTGGAATGATCTAATCGACTCCGATAACTATTTCCGTAAGCTTCTTCACGATTTGCATAAAACATAATAGGTACGGTGCAGAGCCCGATGGCTGAAGGCAGAAGGAATCTCACTCATACTGACAGCCACGACCAAATTTATACCATGACGTTGTGAGTATTAGGTAATTATTAGGGAATCTTACGGAATTTGAAACCGTAAGGGAGTCAAAGTCCAAGGTCTTCTTGGGGCAAAATCGGTTTTGCGTCGTTTAACCAGGAACCTTTTCGGAATCATGCACCATTTTCGGACTGCCATTGAAAACATCCTAACCAAAATCAACATTCAAGTTTTAAAGCTCTTCATAAAGAATCGTGTCAAAGTTCCTAAACAGACGAAACTGGTACGTAATGGAAACCACTAAGAATCTTCTTTTCTCGTGTCATTGAAAGCGAATATCTAGAAAACGTACCGTGTCCACGCTTCGATCTCTGGGAGAGGGACGGTAGTGTGCTGGGGGAGCAGACTCGCCTCGATGCAATGGTACCGGATAAGCGGATGGCGGAAACCGTTGCTGCTCAGGAATCCCGTAAGGAGCAAATCCATCTACGAACACCGGCCTGTAGGGTTGAGGCAGCGGTCCACGCCAATCTTCACTGTAAGAGACCAGTCGGTTTCACTTGAAGGTCGTACACTGGTTTCACTTGTTGAATAAGTTTCTCTTTCCCTCCCACTTAACATAACCTTAGGAGAATGAGTACTCTAGAAAAAGCGACAACAACGGAGTAAGCGATCCGTTCATATACTCAAGTCGTTAAAAATCGATTGAATAATATGATTTGAAACTCTCGACGATGAACGCATAGAAAAACATACGGTGGCGTCCTCCAAGTTTCACCAAGGCTCATCCATACATCTGATTCCTTGCTTGTCAGACAGTTCTGCATCAATTCGCGAGCTTCTAGTGACAATAATGGCGCAACTATCTGAAGTATTTCTATTTCTGAAACTTCTAGAACAAGTCATTCCAAAGTTTTCCGCACCATTTCTAGTTTTTAGGTACACAAAGTTTTTTCATCCTTTTCTTTGCAAAACATTCACAATTTCTTCGAACCTGTGGAGCGATATTGCGACCAAGACCCCAGTGACACGCTTCGAGAATAACAGTGAGCGGTGTGAAGAGGAAATGAAGCAGCTCAGGTGCATTCGGCTCGTGAATGTGATTCTTGAGCTTGGCCTGGAAAAGTTTGACATTTTCCGGATTTTAAACATTTACTACTTCCAAGCTCACTAAAAGATTGAAGCTGAGCTTGAATTTCCTGAAAATATCCACGAATTCAGGCTCAATCGGTAATTGGGCACGCATCTGCAGAATTCCATTCGGATCCGGTGGCGGCGCACCTCCTCGCTTGTCTCGACGTTGAGCTGTTCGGTATCGATGGGCCTGGAAACAATTCCAGTGAGCATAAGAAGCATATTACAGAATACAGAAACGAGATCTCCATTTCTATGCATTTTCGGAAAAGAATCATGAAGAGCAATACTCACAAGAATTTTAGGAACTCGAATAGTACACAGCCTGGCTCTAGGCGATAATTAATCCAAAGCGTCTACAAATGTAAAGCGGGGTGCAGTGCAGTCGCGGTGATGCCGTTCATCACGAGCACACTGTCGGTTCGACCCCGTCCGGGTCACTAGGCCTCTCGGCCCTCCAGGAACGAGGAATTGGCGCCAGACTTATCTGGATCTAACTCACCCCTTTAAATCCACGCAGTAACGCTCTAACACGGTTATCCTAGGACTCCAGAGAGAATCTATTCGACCAGAATTAAACGACATTCATACAGAACACGACGATTCTCAAGCATCAGCCAACCCTACAAGCGAAGAGCTCTAAGACCTTTATAGAGGATGAACTCGAGGAAAACGAATAGAATGCAAGCGGTGGAATCTGCAAAGTATATGTGAAGATCGGTCACATAAAATATGGAAAAACCTATGGATTTAACTGTGCGAATCGTCCAGTTAGCATTATTGGAAAAGTGCTCATGAGAAGCACCAAAAAACTAAGGCTCAACAACTCCGCAGAACCTAGACCTCAACAAAATCAAATCAAAAAAGGCAGGACGGTACAACATGGCCGTCATATGGATATGATCCATGTAACGTACGGATTGCTTTTCTAAACTCTGTTTTTTTCGCATGACTACCTTTCGTCTAATGTTCTACTACTCAAGGTAAGTGGGACACCAATAAAAAGTTTGTAAACTACGGACAGTAGATGGATTATGCAAAGGGATTTCAACCTCGAGTTGATCTTTCCCGTTCGGAAACAACAAAACCTTGAGACGGAATCGGTTGGATGCGTTGGGCTGTCAAGATGTAAACACGAAGTACAAGAAAATCTTGTTGAGATATCCAATAACTTGAAAATGAGAGTTTCCCAATCTACATATACCTACGCCACCGAAGTGCAGCCAGGAATGTGACAATGCGATACAAACTCGTTGTCAAAATTACTCGACATGATTTCTGAAAACCTTATGTAAAGATGGAGCAGAACAACTCGAGAGGAGTCCACGCCTTGATACTCCTTTTCTGTGGAAATGTTTCTGTGAAAATTGTTCCTGCTCTTCTTTCCTTTTTTTTGGATTTTTTGCTGGTTGAAACACTTTTAAAACATTAAACATAATTTAAGTGGGACGGATGAATCCAAACTGGTTCAAGTGAGAACAATATCTCCTTTTCACTGGCGAAGTTTTTGATAGTGACTGGATTCCTCGGGATTTCAGACGCAAGTCCCGCGGAGACCCGATAGTTAAAGCTATTCATGAAAATCCTAGAAGAAAGACATGGTGCTCAACGAGTTCCTTGAGCCAGCAGTACCAAATGGGCCACTCCTGCACGAGTCCCACATACGCAATGAGTCCAACTGAGCAGATTGAAATAATGCACGAATAATAATAACCGCTGTGGAGATTTGACGTGTCCACTGCGGCTTCGGAGAAGGCAATGATACACTACGATAAAGGATCTTACTAGGATCTATTGTAGGTCTAACAATAAGGTGAGATGCTGACTATCCATGCTGAGTGGAAGTTCTTTTCTGAAAATGTGAAAAGAGAGCTCCCTCGCTCATGATAAAGGAAACGCCCTTCGCGAGAAATAGATTTGTTTTCAATTCCTCATAGAAATGAATACCTCCGAATTCCAGTTATGAATTCCTCGCTGTTGGATTTCACATGACTGAATAATTTGGGCAAAGGTTAAGCAAAGCGAAATAGATGGCTTTAGGAATTCGCTACAACTGAGGAATTAGCTATGAATACAAAACATGTGGCTCTAAGTGTCATTCCTCAATTCCGCTCCGAACCGGCGTGAACAGAAGCCTCGGAAAATTACCAGTAATATAAATATGTCAGACGCGCTATCAAAGACAATATAAGAAGTATTCTCATCCAAATAAGAAAGAGAGAGAATCCGGAATTTGAATCCATGTCGAAGGTCGTAGACAAGAGACGCTGCAGCATTCATTAAGAAAGCAATGTGGGTCAGACACGAGATACAACCACTAGACAAAAGCCTGTGATTGGATTGTACGGAATGTCGGGCGCATAGTAATAAGGTCGCCATACCCATGTTCAGACTTCTTCAATGAATTCGTGGCTGAAAAGTGGATATTCTTCAAGTCTTTCGAACAAAAGAGATGCCAATACATCTTGAAAAAACAGAGTGAAGAACAGAACCCTCCCTGGCGAACGTTCGAATCGTTTGATGGCAAGCAGGAAAATAGGTGAAAGTTGAAAAGAATATCTGATTGGGTAAAAAGGATAAAATGCTCGACGTTGATCAATTCTTGAGGGATGCGCAATGCATTCTACTTCATAAAGCATCGTTTGGAGGTGACTGAATGCATATCTGGCCATTACAGTTACTCCCGGTGGCCTGCCGATGTAACCAGCCAGTGTTGTTATCCTCCCAGATAAGTCTGGTACCAATATGTCGACGCCCGAGGGATGGGAAGCTTGGTGGGCCATGGGCGCGGGGATCGATTCCACGTGTGTGTCGCAGTGGCGCCTCCAACCAGTGCGCCACACACCATCTTAATATCTGATTGAGGCCAAAGAAATTTATGTTTTTAAATTTTATTTTAATTGACCAATCATCACAACTACTGCGCCGATTCAGCAATTCTCGCATTCATTCGCATTCATTACACATGATGGCCCTCGAGTTTTTCGCATGCGAATTCAGTTGATAATGAGTATTGTTTTCCTTCACGAAAGTCGTGGAATGCCGGTCGAGTCGATTCTCCTTCGAGTCCTGGGATAGTTGTGCTACAGCATTTTTTCGTGAATTTGAAGGAGTAAGTTGGACCCAGATAAATCAAGTATAAATTCCAGACCCCGTATAGATAACAGGCTCGCTGAGCCTAGTGCAGAGTCGAACCAAAAGCGAGCTCGGATTGAATGACATCACTACGACCACTCTACCGGCCCCTTAGCTAATTTACTGCAAATAATAATTAGCGTTACCTGTTGTTCTAGCTCCCTCTGAGCAAAAGCTGCTGATTGTATGCGTGCTACGAACCTTTCGATGTCATCGAAGCACCGATTGAGCGTATTCTGAAGACAGAACACAGTTATTACCAGAGGAGGTTACGAAAGGTTAAGAGAGTAAGGCTCCACAGTTACATTTTAGCTATACAAATACTGTAATTTCGACTGCATTCAAATATTCGATGTCCGAATAGGAAGAAAATTGCGCTGCCGCAAATATTGACAGTTTTATGGAGCTTAGCCCAAAAAACCCATAAACTGACCACATCCCTCTCAAACAGTTCCGAAGTGTCACCGTGCACCGATGAGTCATCGGTTGGATATTGGAGAAAATCTGAATACAGTGGTGTTAAAGGAATGAAAGTCTACAGATATCATTATAGACCAACTCAGTTAAGATCCTAAAAGCAAAAATACTACAATTTTTGTGATTCTTTCATATTTCCGCTTCAATTTCTATTTAGTTCTCATTGATAGCTGACAAGAACTCGGTTAAACAACCTGGTGGTAGACGATGAGAATATGCAGGACCACTGCTTCTTCGACCATTTCGAACCTTCCGGAACTGGCCGCGAATGTACCACTGCAGATCGTCGGCCACCTCTGTCGCCGCGACACGGTTGCACTAAAGTTTGGTTTCCGTTCACAAGTACAACATAAACTAAGTATCAATGTATTTTAAACAATTTAACCGTCCTCACAATTAAAATGCAATCTAACAAACTACCAGCCTGAACGAAAAAGTTCACCTGGAAAATATGCATTTCAGTGGGAGTGGCTGAGCGCTTGTTGCGCGTGTCCTCTCTGACGATGAATAACAAAATATTGTTGTAGGTGTCGCGGGGATCATTTGACACGTGAGCCGTCGGCTGCTCAATCAAATCAAGTGGAAACTGTTCGACAAGGTCCTGAACGAATCATCTACATACCAGAGCGGCTTTTAAAAAATCAACGGCCTTTCATAGTTTGATAAAGCAATGAATGACGTTTATGAGACATATCTCTAAGCGTTCATCTGAAAACCCATGCACCTATGAACTTTGAATATTCCGTCATAATTTTTGTACCCATCCAATAACTTATCCCAAACAGATCAAGCATATTGTGCGCATGCCATGAGAGGCTATTCTCTAGACTTAACAACTTACAAAAACCGTTTTTTGGAGGGGACTGTTCGTTCAATTTGGATTTCATGTATTGAACAACCACAAAGACCGCATCACATACGAATAGAGTAATGGAATGGGCGGGATTATGTGTGAGTTCCATGGCGAACAGCTACGTTACTGAGCTTCAGAGAAGCATAAAAATTGTTGCTAACTAGGAGAGCACACACGACTCGTACGTGGCAAACTTTGTCCAGCATGAGTCATCTATGAGTCATTGTGTGGGCAACCAAAAACGTGTTAATAAAAGAAAAGCTGGATCAATCAACTAAATATTTTTAAATCCGAACTTTTAATACAACAGAGGCGGTTTTTTTTCTACCAGCGAAAATAGTGGGGATTTAGGGACGAAATCAATTCGTACACGGGGTTAATCATTAAATAACTATGAACTGAAGACTCGCTGCCTACTTACCCCGTTCTCGTCTTCGACAGTAACGCTGCTCTGCCGAAATCTTAACACAAGTGGCTGCGCCCAAATGGCCGAGTTTTTCTCCATTTGTTTCAGTTTTCGAATTCCGTCGGCAGGAAATGTCAGACCGAATTGTCTTCCGACTGCAAATGTCGCCAAATGTTCGACGTAGTACGATGGTGTCATCTCGTCGATTCGTCCACCCATTACTGAGCGCTGATCTGTAGAACATGAGTGATAACAACAGATAATAACTGATAACAACACAAAAATGCCAGCGTCGGTTGATCTGATTCAGAACACCACCGTTTTCGACGTGCTATAAGGTCAGCCTCAGAAAAAGTGTTCCTTGCTAAACGTTTACCGCAAACGCATGTATCTCGCAAGAACCATTAGAACACCTACGCTTCACTGATAACGCGGTTAGCTTATTCATTTCATTGTGGCAAAGTTCCAAGCTTATCATGCCCACGAATCTAAGTGTTTCTTTTAGTAGCTGTTTGTTGAAGGATTTCCGGGTTAGCATTTATCGAACTGTTTGGAAAAGTTGCACTCGGTTCGTAAGAAGATCAATGAGTATGTTGGACGAGGGAGAGCTTAACATTTCAAATCGTCGAACTCTCAAAAAGTAGGCTATAGAAAGTGTAAGAGAGATTTATGCTGTTCAACAAAATTGCACTTTGGTGAACACTGTCGATCTTCCTCCAAAAGCCTTCCTTCGGATACAATACAACCAAGAACAAAAAAGTTATAGTGGACAAATTGATCAGGAGAGTACAAAGACCGCTGCGTTTTATATGCAAATTCTGAGTTGGTTCTCGTGCATGATTTTTCTCCGACCTTCTGTAAAACATCGTTCGATGTGGAGAAGAAGTCTAAAATGTGAAGAGGTTTGGAGAGACGAGCCTAGTCGGACATCCTAATTTAGTTGGGAATAAAGTAGAAGATGGAGAATTCTAAAGAAAAGAGCACAGAAAGACGAGAATAAAGAATCTCAGTATTCCGAAATTGTATTTCACATAGTAACCTGTCATAAAAAAAAGAATATGCAGTAAATAAAAGTTAAACAGATTCATTTTGCAACCACAACAATGCTAAGATATTCGCAAAACTTCCACTCCGGACCAGATCGAACCACGACTTCCCTCTCCGGGGCCAGCGCATTACAGACTGTGCCACGGAGGTCCTTCCTTTGCGTTTCTCTCAGCTCATTTTCTACCTAACGCTGCCATCAGTAATCACCCGTCAGTGGGATTGATCTGGGGAGCACAAATCAGCATCGAACCCAGTTAAGCTGAGGATGTAGTCGAAATCACAATGATAACCTTTCATTTTCTGCCTACTATAATTTATGGTAGGCAGAAAGTAAAAGGTTAGCAAAGTGATTTTAGTTCAAACATAGTGATTTGGCATGTTTTTGATTCATATAAATAAGGTATTCTAAGCAGTTCACTTGACTAATATTTCTGAAACTATTTAATCAGCAACGAGTGCTAAAACGCTACCATTCCCAAATGGGAACATGGTTTCTACTTTGAGTCTCAGGATACACAAATAACCAGAATTCTTCCGGAACGCTTCTCCTCTTATCTTCTGAAAAAGTGCTTTCTATAACAAAAAGGAAGCCAATGAAAGAGATAAGGCCTTCTTAAAATGAAAAACTGCGGAAAACAAAAAGAAGTAGACGACTGCCATTCATTTATTTCAATGACATGGAAGTTGCTTGAGATCGAAAACTGCTCAAAATATACATTATTATAAAGTCTGCAAAGATATTAAGAATGTAATTTATGGGTTTAATTTAGACTAGGACCAGTTACAGCCCAGAAATGAGTCATCACTCTCAAAGTGGTTTCAAGTTCGGCAGTTATTGTATCGGAAAAACCTGTACTCAGTTTATTACCTAAACCGAAAGCGGAGATATCTGTGCTGCTCAATGAAATTGAATGACCAATGCTGTCTATTTAATCCCAAACTCTTTAGAGACTCACGACCAGTATTCGGAATCTCGTGATAAGCCATAGGTGGCTGCGAAGAGTTCCGATGTGAACCGGACGGTGACGGAGCGCCAGAGGGTGGCGCAGCTCCTACACGAGAGTAGTAGTACCCTGCGGAAGGAGGAGACCTGCAACAACACGCTATACGATACTCCCTATTGCCCTTAGGCAAATTCGTGGTAAATTCCAAGAATTTTAGCTTAAAAGATTTGCATGAAACAAGTGTCACATATAAGTAACCAGAACTGAGAAGATTCATACTAATGAGTGTATAAGTGCAAAAAATTGTCTGTAACTTTCTTTTGATTTGCAAACCTAAAACAAAAATGGCTACTCAAAAACAACTCATACACTCCTTATTGACTTGACTGTGGAAAAAGCTCTATCAAGAGAAAGTGAAGAAAATAAGTCAACGGATTGAAATGCTATTGTGTACAGATAAGAAATAGCGCTGACTGATGAAAATCAATGGCATTTGCTCTATCAGAACACAACGTTAAGGTTTTAAATGAAAGTGATGTTGGACAATGCAAAAAATACTGTCGTGAGATTTTATTAGCGCTGAGAATGCAACAGTTAGAGATGAGTGCAATTATAACGTGGTCACTGGATGAAGTCCGTCCTGGGCCAGGCAAGCCTCCCAACACTCCGTAGTTGGAAAATTGTCAAGCATGTCCGGGAAATTCTACATCGTATCCATAAAGGCCACCGAATGTGGGTTTGCGCTGACGTATCCATGAATTCTAGGAAGCAGGAACTCGATCAACATTTAGCGACATTCAAGAAGGAAACAGAGACCTTAAGCAGCAGCCGAACAAACATGTAGAGTTAAAGACCTTCGCGGATGACAAATGCAAGACAAGGGAACGGAGTAGAAGAAGGTTTGCGTTTTACCCAATGTGTGAAATCAGGTCATAGAAATGAAAAATAGAAAGATTTCAATTGACAACGTCACGTGGCCAAAACCGTGCTACAAACTCACACCAGGAGAAGGCTGTACAAACTTCGCTTTTTTGCTAAACTCGAAAAACATGTAATTGCCGAAACTGTTGACTGGCATTATGAATAAGATATGCACTCATACAATACATATGTAAACAGTACCAATGTTGAGAAGTTCTTAACGAAGATGTGAGTGGCTTTTGGTTGTGGTGACAGTAATGTGGAGCTGAAAGTGGTAAGAGCGGAGCAAACAGGAAAACACTGAAGAGCTGATAAGGACGCCGTGGCGACTGTTAGGCGCCCACCCGACACGGGACGCGACAATGATGACGAGCAGAAGCAACGCTCTGCAGACTGCGATCACTGTTCTGATGAGAGTTAAACCGATTAGAAAATCGTCTACGCCTCCTCAAAGCGCCCTCAAGGCAACTGTCACCTCGTTGCCAGTCTGATACTTCGCCTCGCTTACCTCGTAGCAGCTTTATCATAAATGGAGAGGCAATTAAAATACAAACCATAAAACTTTTAGTGAAGATCGTCGTAATTTATCAACGATTTCATCAATCAAACCTCTTTCCGCTTTGCAGGAATTGATATGTAATCGAGTGAAATGTGGGCAGTCAGGAAGCTCTTACTGAGGGCAATCAGGAAATTCTAATTTGAACGTCAATTTCAACTTGCAGTTTTTTACATAGTAATTTCCATTTGTGAAAAAAGTGTTATATACATCCTCAGATAACATGTTATGGCTATCTCGTATATGTAAGGAACTGAAGACTGGTTCAGATCGTCAACATCGGAAAAAATGTCAATTGAATCTCTCTCAGCTACGGCGATTAACCTCGAGAAGAAAATGAAATGAAAAGCGCATTCTAACGAAACCGACAACCAACCAGAAATTTTGATTGGCTATGATTCTTCAGTGGAATAAACGGAGGGAAGCCATCCATTTATAAGCTGGGTCGTATCATCCACATTATTTTAAAGACTAGATTATTTTGAGAAAGTATTTGGAAGTAAAGTTCATTTCCTCAGTAACCTTACAAGAAACCAAATTTGTTCTCCTTCACTAGAAAATGAAACCGCTTAAGGATGAATTTAGACCTAATAAAAGATAAACGATAAACAGAGCCGGTGTTGGTGCATCCTTTCGGGTGATCAAGTACGAATCAAGTCGTAGAAGAAAACGAATACATACTTGGCCTATAGAGTGACTTGCGACGGCTTACCAATCTGCTAAGTCAATGTTTTATATTTCTAAGACCAGTATGGCACAACTTACTTAACCCACTAAGAAGGAATTCTTAGTTTGGCAAAGTACGAAGTTGAGCCAAGAAACACATGTGTGTTGCATGGTAACTCTTACCGCTACGCTAGCTACACCTTTATAACGAGGTGAGGAAGCCAATTACAACTCGGATTCTGGAAAAAAAATAAATAATCTTTAAATGAAAACAGCTCACTTCTGGAAGGCATCGATTCCTCGTCGCATCGTTTACAGAAACCTTGCGGACATTTCTGAAGTTACGCGGATTTCCGTCATGGGAAATAAGAACTCAAAATGTAATATATCGACGATTATGTACACATTAGAAATAGAATGTTCACATTTAGACAAAAAATGAAAGACGGAAAGAGAATAGGAACTACGAGTACTCAAAATAAACGGAAGAATTCAGAAAACTGTTGTAACAGTTGCTGAGAGAAGAACTCCTATTTAACACAAGAAAAAGAAGGATAGGATGGAGGGTATGGTGAACCTTGGGCGCGGTGCTCATTCCCATAAGTGTATTGGAGGGCGCCTCAGACCACTGCGCCACGCGCATAATCTCCTAGTGTGAACCAATAAACGATATCAATAAATTAAGTGCAAATCTTCAAATTTTGACAGAAATATAAGGTAGAATAATTAAATCGATGACAAAGTGGATAAACCATTTGGCGATGACCCTTGAGGGATGCAGTGTGCATTCCATTCCATTTGTAGCATCGTAGATGTGGTTTGATGCACATTATGGGTAGTAGAAGGGTTTAGTGCAAACAACTGACAATGAAGTCCTACTTTTTATTCAGACTACTATACAGTCCTTCAACATCAAATTTTTACTCGACCCATCTTTCATGCCCACGCGCGGATTCCAACATTTCTTGCATAGAATTCATTTCCTCGCACCCGTCATCCATGAAGGTCTTCCAACTTTTTTCGTGTGCCATCGACTGCTGCTTGAGTGGTTTCCTTTTATCATGAATGCCGCTGAATGCTGGTTG